GGGGGGGGGGGGGGGGGGGGGGCGTTCTGATCACTCATTTTAATGTTTATTAATGTATTTTGTTTCCTCGTGATGCGAACTGCATTCCTTCTCTCAAATCTGAGTGAAGTCAGTTGTTTTCTAGGCAGAAGTTTGGTCAAGTTTATGTGTTCTTTTTTAAAGATAACTATTGTTTTCCCAGTTGAGAGTCGTTTGTTAGCAAATCAATGTGGTCAGTGACCCTTACCAAATTTGCACCAGCCCTCCCCACCCCATGACGCTACCGTCCGTTACAATGATGAACGTACCTTACAAAAATGCCATTGAATGTTTGCAGGATTTTGTCCTTAAAAGTAAAAGAACGTCCATGCCATAATAATAGTGTGTTTATCATGAGTGATGAGAGAATGTCCCCAGAGTAATAAGTAGTGACCCTCCCCGTATTTGCAGCTGCTCTCCGTACCCTCTTAGGGTCTGTTTACATGGAGGTGCAGTGGGGGACCCCAGGTAGGTGAGGTAACCCGCTTAGGTGGGGTAACTCGCCTGTCCATATAATCTCTCATTTTAATTTGATCACGTTTACATGATAGGTGCGGTGACCCACCATGGCGGGTAGCCCGGGTTACCCTCTCAGCCGGGGTAAAATTTTGCCATGTAAACGTTTCAAGGTGGGGTAACCCGCCTAGCCGGGGTCGGATTCGTGATACATCAAATTCACTTTGGTGGTGGCTTTGCATCTTTATGAAAGTAAGAATAGAAAGCTACAGCACTGAAGGTTGCAACAAGAGCAGCAAGTGAGTGTAGAAGAGCATCAATCGCCAAAACACGTGGTTTGCCAGCATTTTCTTGTTTACGTGCTTAGCGATCATTCAATAATCTCTCTCTCTCCTCCGCAGAGGCTCCCGCTGCGTATCCCAGTAGAAATAGCAATAATCGAAAAATGGCAAGAAATTGCACCCCAGGTTAGCGGGGTTGTAAGATTGCATGTAAAGGAGGGGGTTTTTTTACACCACCTGAGCGGGTTATCTCACCTACCTGGGGCGCCCCACTTCCACGTAAACGGGCCCTAAATTATGAAGAGCCTAAGCAACGATAACGGGGACGCAGCAATTGGTTCAAGTGGCAAAACAAAAACTTTGCACGTACAGCACGCTTTTTGTTCATTTCTTTGCCATCGTTGCACGACTACGACGTCAAAATGAAGAATTTCACGTTTTGTTGAGGACGTGAACATTAGACAACGACTTCCTTTTTCTTGGTCTGAACTTCGATACAGTCCTTTAGAATTCAACTCCAGAAAAATTCCCTAACATTTGACGAAATAACATCTTTGGTGACGTTTTCGTAGCCGTCGCCGTCGTTGTATTGAACGTTACGTACAGAAGTTATGCTGAAAAAAAAAGCCTTTGCATCAGCCCAGAAGCTCGCGTCCATCAGTCAGCGATGCTAAGGGGTTGGCCTTGTATCCTACAACTGCTCATTTTCAATCGCGGCGATGGACTAGAACTAGTTTACAATCGATGCCCGTGCATCTTATTTTCTCGTACTAGCCTCGACTGCGAGCTAGTTACAGTCTACTATGAAAAATACCAATGCGGTCTATTAAGTAAGATGTAAATATATCAATTTCTTTTCTGTTTTCTTTATGAATTATCAGTAAGACTGAGAAGAGTAAACGAAGCCTCTCTGCTTTTCGAAAACAGTATTCACCATTTGCACATCTCCAAAATACACCCCCTCTTCCCCCCCCCCCCCCCCCCCCCCCCCCCCCAACTCATTTTTTTGTTTTTTTTTTTTCGGCTTTTTTTCTCTCCCCTCGACAAAAGCCTTTCAAAAAAATTTTGGGGGGCAAAAAAGATGAAGATTTTTGTGAGATATACAAATAGGTAAAACATACAAAAAAACAAAATCAAAATACCCCACTGACCAAAACAATAAAACTGTTCATTAAATAAAATGGAAAATTTACAAATTTTTTTTTTGTTTTCTTTTGGAATATCAGGAAAACCGAGAAGAGGAAACGAAGCCCCTTCGCCTTTCCAAAACCATATTTCCCCCTTTCCCCACCCCCAAAATCCCCCCCTCTTCCCCCCCCCCCCCCCCCCCCCCCCCATAACCTTTGTTGTTGTTTTTTATCTCCTGGGTTTTACGGTCGTCCGAAGAGAAATGCGTCTACAAAATGTTTGGGGGGCAAACAAGGTGTAAGTTTTATGAGAGATATGCAAATGGAGAAATCCATTCAAAACATCTAATCGATATCACCAATGTCCGTAAAAAATAACTCTCAATAAAACCCTCGCATATTTTAGTAGGACTAAAACAGAAAAGTCATAAAATGATAAAGCTTTATTCGCGGAAGAAAATTCTAACGGCTGCTCAGGTTTGTATTGTCCATTAGAAGACTTTATAACCATTTTCTTGATAACCTCTTGTCGTCGTCGTCGTCTTATTTTATTTTAGCTCTGTCAGGAGCCAGAGGCACCCAACGACTGTTTCTGTAAATACATACAAGTTTATTTAGACCCGGCAAAATCATTCAGTAATAGCGGAGCTCTCGCGCGAAGCGCGCGCAGCGGAGCACCATGGGTAAGAAAATGAAGTAATCTACCCATCCGAGAAACTTTGGTAATCACGTGACTGTACGTCCACCTGCCCGCCCGCCCGACTGTCCGTCCGCACCACAGGCAAACCAATGTAAAATAACTTAATCAATTGGTATGGCAGCCCAAATGCAACTGGAGGTTATTTTGGAGGGAAATCGTCTTGTGAAGTAGAGACAACAAAAGAGTCAATAAAGACGAAAACGTAAAGCGAAAATTGTTTCTGTATCCGTGTTGTCTCGAGTATTAAGCGGCTTAGATTAATTGTCATGTCCACAAATTTGGAGTATAGAGCAAGAGAAAGACAGAGAAAAAGAGAAAGTTAGGTGGCAGGCCAGCGAAGCTCAACGAGAAAAAGGGCGATAGAGATCTAAAGCGAGAGATAAAAAAAAGGAGACTTTTTTTTGGAAGACTAACATGAA